TACATACATACATACATACATACATACATACATACATACATACATACGCAGTACATACATACATACATACAATGCTTAATTTGAGTCAGACCCTGCTAGAGCAGGATCCAGAAACTCACAGGTTTATTAATAATAAATGTATGAACAAATATGACTGCCTTGAACAAATTAAACTTATATTGGATATGTAAACTGAAAATATATACATAAACACTCATTTTAAACACAACAGCCACTTACGTCTTAATATCACATACGATCTGCCTCTTCAAGTAGCATTTCTACCTCTACCCTTAAAAAAAATCTTCGCCTCCTAAAAGAGTGGTGGAGGTGAGTGATGTGCTAACCAGGCACGAGCCCACAGGCAGCAGCAATGAACAGCTGGAGGAGTTGCCTGGAGGTTTCACATGTGGGGTCGGGTCAGATAGTGAATTCAGCGGAGGAGTCGGCTCGGAACAGTCAAGTAAGGGGGAAGGGGGTAGGATGATTGACAGAAGCAGAGTGTTTACAGATTCCATTCCTCCTTTATTTATACAGGTTAGTCTCATTGAGCCATGAGGACTCACTTACAAGAGACCTGATTTAAATAAAGAACACAGATTAAGAGTTTGGAGATAACTAAAGATACGCAAAGGTGCTGTTAGGACAGCAGACGTTCAGCTGTATTACCCAGAATGATTCAACCTTTTTTGTTGTTATATACCTGAATGACTGAGAAAACAAACTTTGTGTTTTTGAAACCATTAGTGAAAAGGCCAGACTTCAGGGGTATCTGAGGCAGGCTTGAAACACAAGAGTCAGGGTGGCTTCTGGGTAATACCAGATGGCTAGGCCTCAGACTGACGAAGCCTCTTGGATGAGGGGCGAAACGTTTATTTTTAACAAAAAAACGAAGTCCAGATGACATGATTCAACCTTTTTTGTTGTTATATACCTGGATGACTGAGAAAACAAACTTTGTGTCAATAATATTAAGTTAAACTTCACGATAAAAAGGCTAGAACACAACTACCATTGGCAGTTAATGCTCCAGCGCTGACTGGATGTCCTCTGCAGCCTTTTATGTTCCTCTTGTTCATCAAGACGATGATCCTCAGGTGCTGCTGATCGGTGATCAAATGTGGCTGCAGGGAGCTGACAGAGCAGAACTTTGACACAATGACTTTTTCTGGAAAGTTTCATTGACATTTGTCGAGTACTTCATCAGATATTTTGCTAACAAACCTACAGAGTTGAGTGTAACTAACGACAAATTTTTAAAATAAGAGTTTGATCAATCTGTTACAAGTGTTGGGGATCACTACCAGCTACTACTGCACCAAATTTTAGCTAAATATCAGTTAAGTAACCCGAGTTGAAGTAATTTTTGTGTTTCTTGAGGTCAGTCGGGTGTTGCAGCCAAATTGATTCAGGTTAATTCCAATGGTGAGGCAGTTGTGGTTGTACATTTATTGATTACTTTGCAAGTTTCTTTAAAACTTGTTCAGTGGTTTGTGAGATATTATTGGAACAGTCAGGCCAGTACACACATGCACACATGCACACACGCACGCAGGCACATTCTTGTAAACACACTTTATGGGGACTTTGCATTGACTTCCATTCATTTTCTATAGCCTAACCCTGACCCTTTAAACCTACCTATTACTAATACATGCCTAAACCTAACCCATTCGCAATTCACACCTTAGTCCTAAACCTAAACCCCTAACCCACCAACAAGACTTATCTTTATGGGGACCTGGCTTTGGTCCCCAAATTAGAGCAGTTGGACCACAATGCATTATTTTTTTTAAATTAGTCCGTACAAGGTAACCCAAAACAAAAACGCACACACACACACACACACACACACACAGGAAAAACAATATAATTAAATGCTATCATAATGTTATTGTATTGTTATATTTTCTTTCAAGACACGCAATGTAAATTTTTCTTTGTCTTAATTATTGTCATATTAACTTAACTTATGAAACTAAAATCAAGCATGAACAAATTAGCTTTAAAACTGAGCAAGCCATATAAAGGTACAAACTTTCAATTCTGAAGAATGATGACAAAATACAGACAAAAGCACGGGTCAAGTGTATTAAAATATGTTTTACTTGTCATGTTTTGTCGTTTTTTTAGCCGTGTCCTGTGGTCTCGCTCCAATCCCACAGTTTGGAATGGTCATTTATGAGAGGAGGGTCAGAGGAAGAACAACTGAGTACGGCCTCAAAGCAACATACACTTGTCTGCCTCCGTATGCACTTTTTGGAAAGGCAACCGCAGAGTGCACCGCTATGGGCACCTGGACTGAGACGCCTGAATGTCGAGGTAAAAAAGAGATTTATATTGACGCACAGATTCAACTCAGTTCATTTTTGTACTCAGTTTAGATGAGTGTAATAAAGCTGTTGCCGCTCTATTCAAATTTGATCATGTTAGGTTTAACTTATTTTAATGGCGTCATTTCATTTGTGTTACCAAAAAAAATGCTGAAAACAACGCCGATTAAATCTACTAAACTCACACAGTCGAGTCCTTGTTGAATCTGAGAGTCAGGCTGAACTGTGTTTTTCCTTTAAAAGGGAATTGTATAAAATATTATGCAGTTCACAAAATATTGAATTACCTCAAATCTTCAGTTTTAGTCAGTCTGGAGGAGGATTGTCAAAGATGTTTTTCCCAAATATCCTAGCCTAAAGGTATCTAATACATAGATGTTTTTTTGTCTGTAACTCTGAGACAGGATGTTCCTGGTTTTAACAATACATTGCAGATAAAAGTCTTGCGAATTATGAACGAATTTGAAGATAAAAATAATTAAAAAATCCTCAGAACACTAAGATAGATCAACATAGACAATGTAAACAACTTTATATACATTGCACCGCACAATAAAAATTATATAATTATAAAGCCACACCTCAAAAAATATCATATGTGAACTTGACTATAAAGGTGCAATAATCCTTTGATTAAGTCGTAAATCCACTTTTAACTTCCTGCACCGTGGTCAAAGAAATGTGGAGAAAATACAAAGAACGTCTGACGAGAATGAGCCAAATTGTTCTTCTGCAGTGGTGACGTGCTGTCCTCCAGAGAACATTGAAAGAGGCTACATGTCGAACAGTGAGAGGAGAGAGTTTGACTACATGGAAAGAGTCAAATATGGCTGCCTAGGTGACTACGTGCTCGAGGGGAATACGGAGATTGTTTGCCTGGAAAATGGGAGGTGGTCTGACATGCCATCCTGCAAAGGTGGGACCTGATACTAGTTGTGTAAGATAAATAACATTGCTTGTTTTACCAATGTTTGTCTTTTCTGAATGCAGAACCAGATTAAGAATAAATTCCTACCTGATGTTGTCATTGAGCTTGAGTTGCTTTTGTTTACATTCCATTTCTAATACTTTTCTTCATAAGTATTTCTTTCTTGTTTCGTCTAGTTGATTGTGTTGTCTTCATTTCTTGTGCACCATCACCATGAGTTTGTTTAAACACGGTACATTTTCTCAGACACTATTTACTTGGTCTTCTTTTTGTTTGTGCTTTTTTTTTATAGCTCCTTGCATGGTTAACATAGAGAGAGGAAGGATATTATATAAAGAACAAAAAATGTGGATTGGAGACTTACAACCCAATACTGTCCTACACAAAGAAGTTGTCTCGGTGTACTGCATGGACAAAGACAGGAAATGTGGTTATGCTCTGTCAACACAGTGCATGGATGGGAAACTGAAAATCCCAGAATGCTTTGAGGGTAATATACATTTTATTGCAGTTTTGTTTTGTCGTTCCTCTAAACTTGGACTCAAAATGAAATTGTAAAGGATGGAAAAAATGTGTATTTAATCTCTAATTGTTGAATCTTAATATTAGTACTCTGTTAATCAACAATTTCATTTATATTAATATTTTATTTGTCGCGTTTTTTATTTTACTAATTAGAAAAAAAGCAGAAAAAGTTTACTCAAACAATAATTTTTTTCCCACTGTGTGATATTTACACGTTAGAATCTCATTGACCAGCATTCTCATTCCTAAATAGCAAATAAATCTGGCTTTTAAAAATGTGTTTCCTTCAAAACAAACTTAAAATAAACCAAATATGCGGAGCTAGTAGGCTGAAAAACTAAATTGCAAACTTTTTATTTATATTTCAATATCCGAAATGTCCTGGTCTTGAAAATAAACCGTTGTCTTTGTTGGTGAAAAGACACATAAGGTGAAATAATAACAACAACAACAACAATAATAAAGAGAAACAGGATCAAAATGGGGAGAATTTCATGCACACTAATAAAAATAGGTTTTGAAGAGGTTTCTGATGTTTAAAGACCAGAAACCCACATTGATCGCTAATTTATAGCAGCAGCAACGTGCACTCCACCCGTCTTTCAGATGACTGTACAAACATAATCTCACTGTATCTCGGTGCAATGATAATAAAGCTTATTCTGATCAATTAATTGATTCGTCTTTGGACATTTGCATTGTTTAGCTTTTAGAAGAACAGTCAAATATACCAACTTGCTGTGTTCTTGTGTTTTTATAGAACCCAGTGGACCTGACTACGTCCTTCGTCCAAATTCCCTTCCATCAGAAATTGAACAGTGCTGAAGTAGTTGCAGAATCTTTTTCTGATGAGACCACAGTAGAATGAAATAAAGGTCTTCTATGAAACAAAAGGACTATTGTTTTTTTTAATATATATATATATATATATATATATATATATATATATATAACAACATAAATTTAGCTGTCATTACCAACCATTATTTGTTTGTTTACATATGTTTAATATATTTACTGAGGGAATACATATTTAATGCACTGGTACCAGCTATGATAGAAAATATACAGTTTTTAAGCAGATATTTGCTGTGTTGCTTTTATGAAACAGAATAGTGTCTTTCTAAGACAAATGAGATGGTCATTGATTTTAGAAAAGACTTCAGCTGCAGCTCCTGTGGTCATTAACAGTCAGGCTGTCGAGGTGGTGCAGCAATATAAATATCTGAGAACTGTTCTTGATGACAAACTGACCTTTGACCCCCCCCCCCCCCCCATGTGAACTCACTTTGTAAGAAGGCCCACCAGAGGATGTTTTTATTGGAAGCTCTGTGGGTTTAATGTTGACTCTACTTTAATGAGAATGTTTTATTGAGTCTATTAATGTCACCTTCATCTGTTGATTTTGACTTTTGACGTGCAAAACAGGAACAAACTCTTGGGGATTGTCAGGATGTGCAGCAAAACTGCTGACATAGCCCTACAGAACCTCACTGACCTACACAAGGCCAGGCTGATTCTGGCAGATCCTGTTCATCCACTCCATGGTGAGTTCAAGTTGCTTCCATTTGGATGCAAGTATCTGCTGCCCAGACGTAGGATAAACAGACTGAAAAACTCATTCATCCCTGTAGCGATCAGGATTCTCAATGAACAAGGATGATTTCTGTACTGTTATTTTAATGTCTCAATGTCTTGTGTGGATGTTTTTGTGTGCCTACTGACTGTGAAACAAACTGCCCCTTGGGGATAATAAAGATTCTTGAACTTGAACTTGAAGATGGTGAAACTGGAAGACACAAGTGGAGAACGGAGCAGAATATAACTTAAAATGAAGCAAAATGTTTAGTGTTACAGCAGCGAGAAAACCAGTATCGTCCTACAACAGTCAGGTTTGACAGCGGTGGAAATATAAAGGGGGCCAAAGCTCTGATCTATGGAGGGTGGAATGTGACAAAATTAAATAAATAAATGCATAATATTGAATAATTAAATGATACATTTAATTATTTTGCATTTATTTATTTAAATTCGACACATTCCCTCCAAACTGATCGGGACTCGAACCAGAGTCCACAGCATCATTACTCTACCAGTTAATCTCAACACCGCCCCCTTGCGGAATTTATACGTTAATCCTGAACGCCTCTCGCGAGATTCTTCGAGATTCACGTTCTTCTAGTTCAGCATGGCTACGCTGTGTGAGGGCTACACGTTGTGCGGACTTGCTCCGGCTCAAAATCGGTTATGTTCAGGTATACGGGGAATCGAAGAAGAGCGAGACAGCGACCATGTCATCGTCACCGACTCAACCAGATCTGTGACTCTGTACAAGGTAACATTTAGGCTTCGGGTTACAGAAACCTGTGTGGCCCCGGCAAGCTAATCGTTGTGAACTCGTGTTAGCATCTAACACGTCAAACAACAACAGTGCCTTGTCCAAAACATTTTGATTAAACAGACATAGTGCTCGTTTATGAAACCAAAAAGTTATATAAGTGAACTGAATTCATTGCATGTTTATGACATATTTAGCCTTGAGAACAAAAATGAGCAAGCTGCACACACATGCACGGATTAGGACTAAGCAGTGTTGTCGCTGAACTGAAACTCAGCTAATAAAATATGTTGCTTTTCTGTGTGTAGCATTTGCAAAACGTCAACTTTCAGATATACTCCAATGCAAAGTTATTTACTCGTATGTCTTGTGTTCAGGTGTCAGACCAGAAGCCCCTGGGCAGCTGGACGATGAGACAGGGACAAACACTCACCTGTCCAGCTGTCTACAACACTAAAACCAAGGAGTATGTCGCAGTCTCGGACAACAAGGTAACTTTATTCACTGTTCACTGTTGACAGGACGCTTTGAGTTCATGAAACATTGTCCACTTTGTATCAACATGCCAACGTTTACAGATGGGCCATTTTAATAAAACCAGTTGGTGCAGCACTTTTAATAAAACCAGTTGGTGCAGCACTAAACTAGATATGTTACAGTCCCTGATCACTGGGACAGGGGAGTTCACACATTTGGCTCAGATTCCAGCAATCCAAATTTACACATCAGATTACAGGATTCTTTACAAGTAGGAATTTGTTGTAAACTCGTTTTTTACATTCTGAGCACCGTTCATGAATCTCTGTTGACCTGAAAGCGGATTTTTGAGTCTCTGGAATCAGGATGATCTGATCGAGTCATAGGAGAAATCGATTCATAGAGTGCCCTCTCCAGATCGGGGAGGAGGTCCTCCCCCAAGTGGAGGAGTGCAAGTATCTTGGGGTCTTGTTCACGAATTAGGGAAAAATGGAGCGGGAGATCGATAGGTGGATAGGTGTGGTGTCTGCAGTGAAGCGGGCGCTGTACCGGTCTGTCGTGGTGAAGAGAGGTCTGAGTCAAAAGGCGAAGCTCTCAATTTACCGGTCGATCTAGGTTCCTACCTTCATCTATGGTCATGAGCTTTGGGTTGTGACCGAAAGAACAAGATCACAGATACAAGCGGCCGAAATGAGTTTTCTCCGCAGGGTGTCTGGGCTCTCCCTTAGAGAGAGGGTGAGAAGGTCGATCATCCGGGAGAGACTCAGAGTAGAGCCGCTGCTTCTCCATGTCGAGAGGAGCCAGTTGAGGTGGTTCGAGCATCTGGTTAGGATGTCTCCTGGACGCCTCCCTGGTGAGATGTTCCAGACACGTCCCACCCAGAGGAAGACCCAGGACACGCTGGAGGGACTATGTTTCTCGGCTAGCCTGAGAACACCTTTGGATTCCCCCTGAGGAGCTGGACCAAGTGGCTGGGGAGAGGGAAGTCTGGGCCTCCCTACTTAAGCTGCTACCACCGCAACCTGACCCCGGATAAGCGGAAAAAGATGGATGGATAAAATTGCCATATTATTTCTCAACTATAATTGAACTAGTTGGTATTATTTTATTTGCCTTTTTTAATCTGCATCCAATAAAATGAGCTTTAATCCAATTTGGAAACTTTGTAATTTGGGTCAGGTCATCTGGACAGTTTCTTTTTTTGTGCTGGAAGAGGGCCGGCAATGGAGGAGGGGGCGTACCAAAGAGACCATCTTAACACAAACCAAACTGGTTTGCTCCACTTTGGAATAAGCTGTTTGAGGAAGAATCAGTTTTGTTGTGTGTTTCCTTGAGTGATGAAGCCTTCCGGATCGAAGGCAAAACGTTTCAGCACAAAAAAAAAGAAACTGTCCAGATGACCTGACTGAAAAATGTTGGATTGTATACCTGGATTATTGAGCATGGACTTTGTTGTTTGTAATTTGGGATTTATTTATTTTCGGAAAACATTTCTAACCACACTGCACCAAAGCTTACATCAAAGATAAGCAACCTCTAGCTATCATAGTAACAGATTATGATTTAATCCTTCTTCTGGACGGATTGCATTGCAACATATTTCTTTATATATTGTTATTTTAACATTTTTAGAAACTTTTTGCGTGAATCTTTTTATCTGTTGCTGCTGTTACACTCAAATTTCCCATCCGTGGGACAATAAAGGCTGTTTCTATTCTATTCTATTCTATTCTGCAATATGAAGTTCAAAGTTGTCGGCATGAATTTGGATTGACCAAACGTTCTCTTTGCTTTTCAGGTGATAAGAATTTGGAATGAAAATGACGTCGTACTAGACAAGGCCTTCAAAGCAACAGTAAGTTTGAATACAGTACAATAAAACTATTTATTTATGAATGAATTGAATAATCTAGTTTATTGGGGAATAATTCCATAATTACAGAAAGCTTGAAAAAAAGCATTTTTTTTATTGTAAAGTGCATCGCACTCATTTTGAAAATGAATTTTCTACTCTGTTACATTTCAGATACTCTTATCACAAAGCATTTGTGTTTTATAATCTTATATGACTCAAACTAATTGTTCTTTTGATTTTAGCATGTCCCTTGCTGTTAAAATTCTTCATAGTGTACTAACCAACCCAAAACAGTGCTGTCCATGCCCACAACTGCTGTTAACAGACTAGATGTGATCTAACTTCTACCTCATCTGTCCTTTTTATAAAAAAACAAAAACAGGTGTCGGCAGATGTCTCGATGGTTCTCTGTGCACAAGGAGGAGAACCTGTGGTTTTGTTTCAGAGAGGAGCTGTGAGACTGATGGACTCGCTGCTTTCTGCTCCCCAGCAGCCCATAGAGGAGGTCCTGGCTCAGGATGAGGCTATCAGGTGTGTACCACGATACAATGAGTAACTTTATTTATGTTTTTTTATTTTTTTTTGCCCACAATTGAAAGATATGGATGTATAAAGACATAAGAGATTTAACACTTCATTCTCGTGGTTTATGTTCACACACGTCTCCTTTTGAGTCACTTCCAGATAAATTCAGAGTTGAAGTGCAGATTTGAAAACTCCTTTTCTGGTTGTCTTATGTATTTTTCTTTTCTTTTTTTTTTGTAGGTGGAGCACAAGCATTGTGGCTGAAACACAACAGCTGCTGATTTTCACAACTGAACTGGTAAAAATATTAGCATCAAGAACTTAATAGTATGAAAATGAACATACATATCCTGTATTTTGTTGCACTGTTCAATTCAGTTTATTTATTTAGTGCCAAGTCACAACAGAAGTCATCTCAGGGCACTGAACAGAAATGTTCATATATAAAAATAATAATTTAACTCTTATTTATTTGTTCACTGTTCAGTCTTGAGTATTATAACATCAGACACTGTAACTGGTTTAGGTTTATTTGTATATAGTTTTAAAAGCCTGTTTGACTGTATTCGCAGAAAGGAGAACATTTCTTCTACCTGCACAGACTGAACCCCAACTCTGTACAGAAGTACCGGCTGGAAAGAGAAGAGCCAGGCCTCTCCCCGCTCAGCTTCTCTGCCTCCTACAAGAATAAATACATCAGCCTGCTCTGTCTCTGTAAGCCTTAAAAATCTTCCCAAAACTCTCTTTATTGTTTTTGTATGACAGCAGAAGCTTAGAAGCAGATAAATCCAGCCTGTCTATGTAATGAATAAGCTAAGCCGCTTTAGTGACTGTAACCTTTTCTCTTTTTTTCTGGTTTCATGGCGTGTAGACCCTAATGGTCATGTGTACCAGAGTTTGATCTCTGTTCGGGGTCCAGGAGCTGAAGAAGAGGCCAAGCTGCCTCAGCTCCCACGTAGTCTGCTGCTGAGTATTCCTGTGGGTGAGGAGCTGCTGGAAGCAGCTTCAGCCATCATCCTGGATGATGCCCATGTAGCTGTGGTGGGCGTTCCACACCCCTCTGCTGGACCCGGTAAAGGTAAATGCAAGAAAATTGATCATATCACATAAAAGTTTGCCTTTTTAAACTCATGCTGTTTTGCTAACGAGTTTGCAGTTCCTAACTAGAAAGTTCCTGGAGAAACTTTGACAGGGACTGCCACGAGGCGGCCATTTCAGAGTTTTGATTTTAACCGTATTATGTGTTGGGGTTCGCTCTCAGCTACCAAATTTCAGCATAAAATCGCAAAATATCAATGAGTTAAAGTCGATTTTTTTTTAGGCTATGGTGGCCATCTTGGATTTTTTATTTGAATTCAGTATGTGATGGGGAAGGTTCTCAACTATAACCACATCAAATGTCAGCTCTGTGTGTAAAAATAGCTGAGTTAAATCCATTTAAATTGAGCTTTGGTGGCCATCTTGAATTTTTTTTAATTAATTATTTATGGGGCATTGCTCTCAGCTACTACCACACCAAATTTCAGCTTAATATCTCAACAAATGGCTGATTTATAGTATTTTTTCCTTTTTAGCTAAGCTTAGATATTCGATTTGCAACCGGTCTGTGAAAAATGACTAATAAAATAGTGTCTTTGTTTGCAAAATACGTTGCCATGGTAACTCGAAACGCCAATAAAATTAATAGCGCACATCACGGTGCTGAGCTGGTCGTTTTGATATAACATTTGTGGGGGTACACATTGTGGTTTGGGCCACATTAAATTTGAAAAGAAGAGTAAGATATAAAGTTAAGAAACCCTTGTCAGGTGGATAATAATAGGTGGTTGCCTTATACTAGGCAGTCCCCAACAAGCTGTTACACCTGATTCATTAACGGTAAATATGCTCCAAATAAGACTCTTAGTTCATGGTTTTCTTTTTTACCTCAGTTTTTATTGATAAATTCATGCTATTAAAACAATAGTTTTGGATTATGTTTGCATTTTTTTTTGGTTATAATGGAATTGTCTTTATTCAAACTGTTTGCCAAGCTAACACCATTTTAGCCTTCAAGTAGAGGAGCTTGTAGAAGTCTAAGGATTAATTTGACTCGTGTCCTGACCTCAGTTCTTAATTATCTCTTTTTTTTTTTTTTTTTTTCAGATTATCTCTGCATCTGGAATACAAATTTTCAAACACTTCAAGCTGGGAAAGAAATGGCAGGAAAACTCTACGGACAGGTAGAAATTAGTTGTTATAATCAAGAGAAGTTTTATTTGTATTTGACTCCTATGATTTTATGTTTCTGTTTTATGAAATGGTGGCGCAGCAGTAAAGTTGGTCATTTTTAGCCGTGTTACTGATCGTAACACTGACAGGAATATTCATCACTGATTGGATTTAGTTATGAAGAGGCCAAGGTTCCCTGTCCTCCCAGCTGCTGCGTGCTGATGGAGGACTGTATGACTTTGGTAGAGCATCACGTCTGCTCTCCACTGTGAGGAGGCCCACTACCTCTCCTCATAACTATATAGCAGTTTACAAACCCCAGTAACAAAGTAGTTGTAGTCTACGACAGTCTTGGATTCATTGCTTACACCTTTTTAATTTGTGGTCATTATTTTTCTCTCTTCTTGTGTAGCTTTGGAGTTTTTCAAACAAGTTTTTTATTCCACATGGAAAAACGCTCTCCGTCATCCCATTTGCATGTCCACAATCTTCCCTGGCTTCTGCTCTGGGAAAGCTAAAGCAGGTCAAGACTGAAGGTAAGGTGAACGAAGGTGGCTGTAATAACTTATTGCAGCTTTATAAAACAGATGATGCACCGATACTTCTGTTGTCTGAGTAAAATTCTGTAGCACAACCAGTTCATTCTGTAATAGTATATTAATATTTGTCAGCATGGAAATCGTTTGTGTTCACTCTTTGCATTCTGTTTTGAACTACAGATTCAAAGCTTTCAGTTTTGGTGCCATCTTGGAATAACATCCTGCATGGAGAAAATGTTCTACCTCCTAAAACGGTGGAGACCAAGAAGAGTGTAAGTTGGATTATTTTACCGGTAATTGGTTTCTTAGATTTATCGTCCCATCGAATCTGCAGTTGTAATGTAGACGGACAGAAAATCGAAAAGCCAAATTTATTGTGACAACTTGTACCACTTTTTTTTTTTTTTTTATAGAAAATTGTGATTTCCAGTTCTGAGTTTGTAGTGTAAAATTTGCCAAATATACACATTTATATGAAATTAAGAGGTAGATGGTGAAAGCAATACTGTAATTGTCGCTGTAAACGTCGCACCACTGTATAAGTTGCATCAGTCCAAAAACGTCTAATAAAGTGGGAAAAAAACATAAATATGTTGCTTCTCTGTATAAGTCACATCTATTATACGTCACCGCTGACCACCCGGAAACGTGGGCCAGTGTTGTGCCAAAAATCGATAGTATGCCAAATGGCAGCCACAAGAGCGTGCACGGGAGGACTTTAACAAGAATTTAACAAGATTAACACAAAAACAATTATTTGTTTACTCAAAATTATAGTAAAGCTGTGTCTCAGTCAAACTTTTCCTTAATAAATGCACTATATTGGTCAAATCAGCTGCATTTCAAAAATCGATTTGCGGCTGCTGGAACGTGCAGAGGTAGAACTCTCTGCATTTCTTTGAAATTTAACAAGATAAACACCTAAAAACAATTATTTGTTTGCTTGATATTATAGTAAAGGTGTGTCTCAATTGAACTTTTCCTTAATAAATGCACTTTAATGGTCAAATCAGCTGCATTTCACCTGGGCGTCGTGTTGAAATGCAACTGATTTGACGTTTGCTCCAGGAGTTCCAGAGCGAGACGAAGGTCGCTTGGTATGGCAAGCCAAGTGGTTCATTAATAGCCACTTTTACCTATTAATGAGGCACTTGGCTTGCCATATTACTCGAAGGCCCTCTAGTGGCTGAAAATTGTAGTGTTCAATATTTTCCATGTCAGAATGAATGAAATCGTCAAATCTCAGCCAAAAATTGGGTTAAAAATATGGGGAAAAATATTAGTTGCTTCTGTGTATAAGTCGCAGGACTTGCAAAGTTATGCAAAAAGGTGCGACTTATACGGCAAAAATACGGTATGTAATTTTTTTAAGTTAATTTAACCTTTTCGAGTCTCTCGTTTAGAAATAGCTTTTGAAATGACTTGGTTCTGCTTCTGAGTAAAACATTTAAACTCTTATAATTGTCTCTTTTTCAATACAGAGGACGCAACGTAGAACCCAGTCGATTCCTGTTTTAACAACTGGCCAAGTACTAGAACTGATCAAGGTAAAAATCTCCAATAACAGCATTTGCATTCTGCCACCTTACAAAGGTGAGGGAAAAAAAAGTTTACCGTATTTTTCCGAAAGCAGAAAATGTTTTTTGACTCCTGCAGACAACACCAGCAGAGGAGGTCCATAAAGAGGTAGAAGGGCTCCTGTCCAGGCAGGACCTGCAGCCGTTTTTGGGACAGATGGCGTCCATTCTTGTGTCTCGGAGCCTGGCTGACCCGGGGTTTTATTGCTCCAACACCTTAGCACTGCTTGTGCACACTCAGTGCCTTTGTCACAGGTCAGTAATCAGGAGGGTGACTCAAGATTTATTCTTTGATAAAGAAAAAACGTATTGGTCGATGTGGGAAAACGTTGGGTCATCATTTATTCTTGTAAAGATATTACTCAATAACAGAAGAGCAGGTTAATTGTGTTAAATGTAACGTATGTCTCTTCACATCCAACAGCGTTTGTCCTGATCTTTTGCCTCTGGCCCTTGAGAAGAAGGATTATTTTCTGTGTCAGCTCTGCTTACAGTTCTTCCCTGACATCCCAGAGGCTATCACCTGCACCTGCCTCAAGGCTTTTATCAGGTTAAAAAAAACCAACTTAATTTCTTTCATCAGATTCCTTGCACCATTTTGTCTTTTTGTTCCAATCACAAAGAAGTAGTTGCACTTATTTAAATTTCTACTCATCATAGGTAAAATTGTTTACAGTTGTCCCTCGTTTATTGTGGGGGATCCTTTATTATAATTATTATTTTTATTAACGTTTATTTAACCAGGTACTCTCGGCCACACCCACTTCTCCGCTCTGCATGGAGAACAGCTGATCAGCTGCAGGAGGAAGTTTATCCTGCAGTGTGAGCTGCACACAGGTGCAGCAGGTGCTAAATAAATTAAGATAATTTTATTTTAAATAAAAATTCCATGCCGATCGTGTGGCTCATCCATCAATCAACCAGTTGTGTCATGTTCAGTCTTACTTTGAAAAACCGCGATAGAGCGAGTCCGCGATAAACGAACCGCGAAGTAGCGAGGGGCTACTGTATTCGTATTAAACTAAATGAAACCCTGTTTCATTAGTAGCCAGAACTAGAGCTGGGATTAATGAAATAAATAGTATAACGTCAAAGTTCATGCTCAATAATCCAGGTAAAAGAAAAATCAAATAAAGTTCAGTCAGATCATCTGGACAGTTTCTTTTTGTTTACTTGTTTGTTTGTTGAGATGTTTCGTCCTTCATCCAAAGGACTTCATCAGTCTGAGGGGCAACAACAAACTCAGTCTCACAAGCAGCAAGCCCACATAGTGGATCAAGCAGTTTGCTGGTGATAAGGTGGTTTCTGGGGCCTGCCCTCTCCCCTGTCAACTCCTCTCAGGCAGCCAATGAGGAGAGAGGAGTCGACGGGGGAGAGGGCGGGCCCCAGAAGCCATCTTACCACCATAAAACTGGTTAGTCCACTATGTGGGTTTGCTGCTTGTGGGACTGAGTTTGTTGTTGCCCCTCAAACTGATGAAGTCCTTTGAATGAAGGACAAAACATCTCAACAAAAAAAAGAAACCGTCCAGATGACCTGACTTAACTTTGTTCAATAGTATAACATTTTCTTTTTTCTGTTTTTTTTTTTTTTTTTTTTTTTTTTTTTTTACAGTTTACCAGATGTCGATGCAGAGAAGTTGGATCTAGAGCCTGAAAGTGTCTCTTTCATGGAAACTATAATCTCAACGGAGCGAAGCCAGGCTGGCTTGCAGAACGGCTTTAGTCCAACTTCCTGTGAAAAAGATACGGCTGACTCCACCAGTGGCCAACAGACGAGAGGAAAAGACACCAAAAATGCTAAAAAGCCACCAGAACCAGTTTGTCCCTTTGGAGTCCATAAAGCTGCTTTAATGTATCCTTCTTATTGACATGTTTGTTTTTGCTGCACATTGTGGTCAAACTGGTGTGTGATGGTTTGAGACGAGATCTTAACGTAAGCGTTACAGAAACGAGGTCCTGCAGACTGCATACAGCGATACTTTTCTCCTCCCGCACCTAAAGGATCTTTCCTCTCAACATGTCATTGTGAGTCACGGCTGCTCGGATTTCTGCCTTTACATTAAACCAGGTGATAAATGTGGCTTCCATAACAGCTGTTTTTGTTGTTTTCTTTATCTGAACAGCTTTTCCTCGAGTACCTGCAGTTTCTTTACCTACGATATTCCCAGGATGCTTTCCCACAAAAGCATGGCTTCCGATCACCAAGACTGGATCAGGTTTGCTTCATGTGACTTTGTGAATCCATAAATTAAATGGTCATGCTTGAGTGGACATACAGTTTCGTTTATAAATAATTACCGTATTTTCTGCCGTACATGTCGCTTCGCCCTATAAGTCGCATCTATTATGTGTCACCGCTGACACGTCGCGTTTGTTATGCATCACAGCTGACAACCCAGACATGTGGGCCAAACCTGGAAATGTGGGCCGGTGTTGTGCCAAAAATCGATGGGCTGCCAAATGGCGGCCACGGGAGCGTGCACGGGAAGACAACAAGATTTTAAAAGATTAACACTTAAAAACAACTGTTTGCTTGAAATTATAGTAAATGTGTGTCTCAGCCTGACGGTTGCTTAATAAATGCACTTTGTCACGTCAGCTGTATTTTAAAAGCCGATACGCGGAAGTAAACATGCGCACGCGACGAGTCACTGTGCAAATTTAACAAGATAAACCCCCCAAAACAATTATTTGCTCGAAATTATAGTAAATGTGTGTCTCAGTCTAACGTTTATTTAATAAATGCACTTTAATGGTCAAATCAGCTGAATTTCAAAAATAGTTTTGCTGCCTCTGTGCTCCCGGGAGGAAAAAAGAAGGAACGTGGCTCGTTTCTTCAAAATTTCACAAGAAAAGCACCTAAACAATTATTTGTTTGCTCGAAATTATAGCAAAGGTGTGTGTCAGTCTGACGTTTGCTTAATAAATGCACTTTAATGGTCAAATTAGCAGCATTTCACCAGGGCGGCGCAGCTGGTTTGACGATGGGTCCAAGCAGAACCAAGGTGGGGAGACTGGCAAGCCGATTGTATCATTAAAAACGGGTGAAGATTCTCAGTCATCCGGGACATGGTAAAATGAAAAAAGTTCAAGAAAAAAGAACAACGAAGTATAAAGTATAATAAATAAAGTCCAGTTGTTTTTGTCTTGAACTTTTTTGAATTTGTCATTATAACCATGTTTACCTATTACATGATACAATGGCATGCCTTAATGCTACTCAAGTGCCTGAAAGTGGTACTGCTCAATTTTTTTTTTCCGTCAGGATGAATGGTCATATCTCAGCCAAAAATTGGTTTATATATGGGGAAAAATCCATAAATAAGTCGCAGGGCATGCAAATTATGCAAAGAAGTGTGACTTATAAAGCAGAAAATACGGTATGTGTAAACTCAAATCAGAGGACGCAGCAAATCTGATTTTCCTTCTTGTAAAGATCTAAACTCTGTTTGTGTAGGTCATGGACTGGGTTTGCCTGCTGCTGGATGCTCATTTTACTGTGCTCGTGATGACTCCACAGGCCAAAGGCTTACTGCAGAACCTTCAGGGTTTTGTTAAGTCTCAGGTAACAAATAAATACTACTCTTTTCTAGTAACTGGAGGCATGTAACACGATGAACATTACTGTAAGTGTACAGGTAACATGTTTTTAAATATGGAGTCCTTTTGTGTCCAGGTGAGGCTGTTTTTAGAGCTTGGACAGATTGAGGGCAGCCTCCAAGAGCTTGACAAGATGAAGACGAAGGAAGACATGGGACAGTACTCCATTGAAGTCATTGAGCTATATTAAAATAGGAGTTCAGAATTATTTTGATTCCTCTTTTCAGCATTTCAAAGGAAGTGGTTTATAGGCTGTATATTGACCCAAAGTGCACTTTGGCACGAATTGCTTCCTGTGATGAATGTTTTACTGTACATGGAAAATAAATTAAAAAAAGATTTAAATTAGACATTGCAAATGTTTAGAAATTCTTCATATTAATTTGTTTAAAGTGTTAAATATCCTTTGCATGATTAATCCACTATCATGGCTTAAATACAGACTAATGTCACCTCATACAACATTATGCTAAACTTTTTTTTTTATATAAGTGAAATTTGAAACCTTAAAAAACAGTATTTTTGTTTCTTTTGTGTGTCATACACCAGAATATTTGTAAATCTGTTTTAGTCATGGTTTTTATTGTTTGCCCCATAAAACCCTGATATGTTGAATATAACTATAAAACATACCATTCCACATGTTGTGTAATTTTTATGGAAAGCTGCTGCAGAATGCCAGATTATAAAAATGTTTTCAATGTGCTGAGGGGTGTGCTTCAACAAAAAAGTGCAGCTTTTTTCTTTGCTCACAACATGCTTTAAAATGAATGCAGATCGGTCCTAAATGAAAAATTAGACACAAACAAAAATTGACAAACTACAACATGTATTAGTCTGTGTAAAAATAAAATAAATCCATCTTCTGGTACTGTTTGTATTGAATAATAATAATAATTAAAAAAAAAAGAATGCAACCTAAGGGTATGGTCCAGGGCTCTGCAACCTTTATGATGAAAATAGTCATTTCTGCCCCTTTGTTTAAATTAAACGTGCCCGGGGCCACAATACCTGCTACAACTGGGATTCTCAACTGGTGGCACACGGACCACTTTAAGTTTGTGGGAGGGCGCTTTTCTGGGGCAGTAGGGGGGATTTTGTAAAACTAAAAATATTTAACAATTTTTAATATTCATTGATATTTTTACGTTCTAAGACAAAATAAACTACGAGATTCTTGTAAAGAAGGAAAAAATAATAGTTTTTGCCCAGTTTCTAAAAACAAACTATGCATTCTAATGTGATTTTTTTTTATTTGTAGAAAAATTGTATCCTTTGAAGAAATAAAGAATAACATGAAAGTGAGTATGTTTTACTCCTTGTAATGTTTCTAGTATTCATATATTTGCAAAATAAATTACAGGCAAAACTGCTAAAACTAGCCTTTTGTTATAACAATCAATAAAATTCAGTTTGATGTCAGTTTTGGTCAAAGCTTGAAAGAGCCGCTGCTGAGGGACCAAAGAGCCACATGTTGCAGACCCCTGGTATGGTCAAAACCATCTTCAATCCAAAGTTATTTTTCATTACATGCACAAGGAGGAGACTCCCAAGTGTGAATAAAACCAACTTTCAAAATATCCTGATGTATGCTCAATAATCCAGGTAGAAAAATCTAACATAGTTAAGTGAGATCCTCGGGTCGGATTTAAAAAATAAGAAATGGCCACTGGCAAAAAGCATGGCCTGAGCAACATCATCAGGCCAGGACTCTGGTCTACACTCATCTGCAGGCCAGTGGTAACCTTCAGGGATGAAGATGTGCACAGAGGAACGTTTGAGGGAGGAGTGAAGGAAGCCATCTTGTGAAGAGAAACCATTACTGGCGGAGGCCTCTGTGTCTGATTGTCACCTTCTTATGTAGACAACAAAAAAGGTTAAATCCTGTTTCTTAAACAGAAACGTTTCACCTCCCATCCAGAAAACTTTGTCAGTCTGCGGCTTGCCATGGCCAGTGTGTTGTATGCAGTTCAGTGCAGCAAGGAATGTCCAGAACTATATTGGAGAAACCATGCATCTTCACTGACGCATGCTCAACACAGAAGAGCCGGCTCTTCAGGACAAGACTCAGCAGTTCACATACACTTCAATGATAAGTGTCTTGAGGACCAAAATGTTCACATTTTCGACCGAGAAGACCAATGGTTTGAGAGGGGGTGAAGGAAGTCATTTACGGTATGTTAAAAAACAAAAAACATTTAAACAGAGGTCGAGGTCTCAGATTTCAGCTTTCATAAACCTATAATGCAATAACTTTAGGCCTGATACCCAGTCATTTAGACTCCAAGACCTTCATTAATGTATCTCAATTGTGATGGGTTATGCAGAGAACTAATTTTGCCATTGTATGGGAACATAATGATGATCAATCTCAGACTTCCCCTCGTTCATGTGTCCAGAGTGGCCCATCTGTGAACCAGACTAACAAAGATCCTAATGAGCCTCTGTGACTGTGAGAGGGCAATCTGCATGTGAATCAAGTTTACAGAACACATCAGCTTTATAACTTGAACCCCACATTCCCTGTTCTTTGACTTGTGAAAGCTCCTTGAATGAGAAGTAAGGGTGCACAGATTGCAGTTTTCTGGCTGATCACCGATTACTAAAAAGTCTGACCTGCCGATACCGATTTTGTTTTATAAGTGACACTGTCAGGTGTTATAAAGTCACAATGTACCTTCAAAATTTAAATCTTATTTTATTGAAAAACATACCCTTGAACAATCTCCTAGAAACAATACAAACTTGTTTTAACTTGCAATAAGGTAGTGCTCTGAAATATAAATGAAGTTTAGACAATTGTTGTTAAAACTACAAAAAATCAGTTTCTCATGTATCGGCCAATCTCTGATTTCCCCAAATTAAGGAAATCGGAGCCGTTAAATTAGCCAGCTGACTTATCGGTGCACCCTGAGTGAGAAGCGAAACGTCTTCAGCTACAGCATAGAAGTCCAGTTGTTTTTGTCTTTAACCTTTTACCAGTGTTGTAATGTAACAAAGTAGAAATACTTTGTTACTATACTTAAGTAGAATTTTGACGTATCTTTACTTTGTTATTTACATTTATAGCAAATTTCACTTTTACTCCATAACATTTCCTCAATAAAATGTGGACTTTTACTCTGATACATTTCCCTTAACCATCTTAGTTACTCATTCCTACAATATAAAATTAGAACACATCTAACTGGGCAATGCCAGTTTGTTCTCCCAGTCTGTGACTTCACGCCACTTGTGTGTAAACTGTGGCACAGCAGCTCCCGCTGTGAACAAGCTAGATGCATATGCATATGCAGATATCACTCGTTATAATAGGTCTTTGTGGAGCCACTATAAATTTATGATAGGTGTGAAAATGACGGTAGCTGCTAAAAAGGAGAGGTTTGGTGTTCTCCGGGGCATTAACTACTTAGAGCAAGGTGAAGTTGTCGGGTCACTAGTCTTCCCATTAAAGAACACAGAAACAGAAATCCAGTTTAAGGTGATTTATTTGCTGTGTTTCTTCTGGTATTTACACACAGCGGTAAAGCTCAAACAAGCTTGAACAACAAGGCTCCATCCCTGTTGAGAGAGAGAAAAAAACAACCTCCAACTGAGCTCTGCAGAGCGGTGCATTCATTAGCGTTGGAACAGCCACAGTGCATTCAAGAGCATATGAACTATTATATTCAGAAAGAAACAAGCCATAACCAAACAGAACCTATAGCTCAGTAAGCTTCTGTAAACACAACAGTGTGGGCTTTCTAACAGCTTTGTGAATAAAGGTTAGTAAAGGTTGAATGAAAATACTTAATTAGAGTCAAACTTTTTAAAGAGCAATCTTTCATTGTTCAGTTCAAATTATCCAAGTTTTTGTCATTGGATATTACACCCAATAAATGTTGTTTTGGAAATTCTAACCATTCACTTTTACTTAATACTTTTACTTTAAGTACATTTTATACGATAAATTTACCTTTGATAAGTACATTAAATGTTGGATACTTTTAAGGCTTTTACTCAAGTAATACATTTAAAGGAGACTTTAACTTTTACCAAAGTAATTTTATGGTAAGATACTTGTACTTTCACTGATGTATCACTTTGAGGTACTTCCAACACTGCCTTCTACTGGACCTGACTGTTTTTCTGTATACTGTATTAGGTCACCCATTCTATCCAGGTTGTAGCAGAAAGCAGGATACCATGTACAAAGAGCCTTGAGATCACCCCAGAATACCCAATTACCCCCTCACCACCCATAAAATACCTCAAAAAGAACCACCCTGTACAAATCGCACACATTGTGATTGGGGAAAAAAAGAGTGCGTTGTCGGCAGGATTCGAACCTGCGCGGGGAGACCCCAATGGATTTCTAGTCCATCGCCTTAACCACTCGGCCACGACAACTCATGATATACGTCATCGATTGTTAACATATAAGGAATACTGAATACCACAATTTTTTATTTATTTATATTAATCATTTGATAACATAAATAATAATGATGAAAAGATAAGATGTACGATCAAATAAAGATTTAATTACATAAAAAAGCTAAACAGGTTTAAACAAAGACGCGCAATTTCCTCCTTAGAAGTTATTCTTATGTTCATGTTGACAATGAATGTGAGTGGCAGCATAAAGTTTTACAACTTCTTGAAGTCCGGAGCTTAATGTCGGACGCATTATCTGCGCTTTGCTGGTGACAACATTAGCGACACAGGCGAAAACGTACGATGAACTTAAGTTGACTACACAGTACTTTACTACAGTAATCCTGACGCCTGTGATCAAGTCCATCAACCAAAATCAGCAAAACGCTAGTTAAACACACTTGGCGCTCGCAAGGATAACCAAAATTATGAACTACGGCTATTGCGTCTATAATACAAGAGTCACGTGACCTCACATTAACTTAGGCCTGCTAACATCAAGTTAGCGATTGTAATAATTTTCGGAAGTGCTACGAAAAAAAAACTTGTTGAAATCAATTCGTTTAAAGCTTCATTCATGGCTTGTTTTACTTATATGGCAAAGTTAATTTACTTGACACATTTATAGAGTATAACCTATTGTGTACTAAATGTGTTGTATTCTTCTTGTAAAAATAATTTCCGCTACATTTATTTTGAAATCTAAACAGAGCAGTTTCCGGTTTGACTGTTGCTGCTCGAGTCTAACTTGAAACAGCTTTGAGGCCTGCTGTGTTTTCAACAGAGGGAGAGTCGAGATGAAAAATGGCGTCTGCAGGCGACCCAGAGCGGGACACCGGCCATTCAGTTTGAGCTTTCCACCTTCAAACTGAAACCGGGACTCGGGTCGGGAACCGTCTCCAGACCTTTACCTCCCCGTTTTTCTCCCGTGTGCGTGACTCGTTCGAGCGCCGAGATTGAAGCGGAACACGAGAGCCTCTCTCCTACAATGAGAGGGAGGAGAGGAAGGCCGCCCAAACAAGCAACCGAGATGCGGGAAGGTTCACCCGGGCCAGTCCGGGGCTCTCAAGGCGGCAGGATTAGAGGGATGCGTGGACGGGGAAGAGGCAGAGGAAGGGGGCGGGGAGGAGGCGGCGGGGCTTGCAGCGTTGGCACCCTGGAGGTGGATACGGACGTCGGGCGAGAGAACTTTAATTCGTCTCGCGGCCGTAAGAAAGTTGGAGGCTCCACCGCGGCGGCTGCGGCGACATCACGGAGCAGAGGCAGGGGCTCGAGAGGCGGCCGCGGCAGCAGAGGCGGAGTGAGGCGGCCTCAAACCAAGGTGGTGTACGACGACAACAGCGACGAGGAGGACGAAAATTTAAGTTACAGATCCGACGAGGACGAACTGAACGACAACCCGTCGTCGGGTGTGGAAGATGAGGAGGCCTTGGGAAACGACTCTGACTATCTGGAGGACCTACCGGATGATGAGGATGCCAGCTACTGCACGGAGAGTAGCTTTAGGAGCCACAGCACGCTCGAGAGCACCCCAGGTACGTTCGCCTACAAGTGCACGCAGTTTGGCAAAGCACGTTCGCGTTACTTAAAGTGCAGTTTTTATTTTTAGCTCACTACAAAAAGCAAGCCGCATTGTTCAAAATGGAGCTTGCAGTCAGAAACGGGCCTTTGTTTGTTTACCGTGTGCTCCTGGCCGCTGCGGATCAGCTCCACGCGTCCACCGGCTGCTATGTTTTTAACTTTTTGTCGGATCAGCACTTTTATCATTTAGAAAGTGGGAATTTGCACGTGCTTTTTATTTTTAGTTTGAGTCTTTTTTAACTCCAGCGTTGTCTTTATTTGTTTGCAAAAGCACACAGAGACTGGATGTATTCGTTGTTTTTTGCTGCTTGGTTGAATTTATTAAACTTTTCAACTTTTGCACAGATTAGTGCAGTTCTGGTGTCGCCATCAAAATACATCATTTCAATTGTGAACTGGTTTTTTTTTTTCACTTTATTTAACTAAATGTTGGACTTGCTGGACTCCCCTAAACACACGTTTTTGTTTCACAATTTTGCTTAACACGTTTTTGAAGAGAGAACTCAATTTCTGTGACTTGTTGCAAACATCAACTTCCTTACCTGGTGCGCCGTTACCATAGTAACCGCAATATGTTTATCAGGTGTTGAAATTAAATATGTAGCTTGCAGTTTTATGAATATTCATGTTAACAAAGTGGCAGTACACACAATTTAGCACATTATTACTTGTTTTTTAATGGAGTGGGTTTTAAGTAGTATGGCAGCTACTTGAAGTGATGAAAAGGATGGAAACATACTTAATGAAATGTAAATCTACAAAATGTTTTATTTCCTGATATTTTCTCACACATCACTCCTGTGTGATGCAAAACCTGTTATCACTTTTTGGATCATTGAAATTTTTATTTATTTATTTGTGGAGTATATAGTTGTTCTACTACACTTGTTATTATTATTGTCCTGTTTATGCATCTCTGTTAAATCACAGGACATTATGATTGCAAACTAATTAGGCGCCTGAAGTTGTTACGTTGACACGATTGTGGACATTGTTGTGTATATAGGACTTATTTTCTCTCAAGTTAACAGAGTGAGGGGGGCTTGCAGTCTCGCAATGAAAATAAAACACAAAGTTTGCACCAAATTGTTCTATAGAAAGACATTAAAAACACTATAATGTAAAACTAGATTTATAAAATAAACAAGTATATTTATCTATTGGTCATGACTGTGTCCAGAAATGGGTAATTTACTAAGTGCAATCAATGTACACATACATATTGTTCAGAGGGAATACTAGGGTGTTATACATTTAATAATATTTCATATGCAGAAATTGAAACCGTCTCATCTCTTTTTACTCATTACAGGCCGGAAACGGAGTCAAGCTCTGCGACCACGCTCTCCTATTCTTGAGGCCAAGGACATTCCTCCTTTGGAGCTTCCCAAGTCATCTGAGGATCTCCTGGTTCCTGCTTCTCAGCTCCTCAATGTTTCTGCCATCTACGAGGTTCTACGCAACTTTGGCACTGTCTTGCGTCTCTCCCCGTTTCGTTTTGAGGATTTCTGTGCAGCCCTAGCCAGCCAAGAACAGTGCACACTGCTGGCAGAGACGCACATCTCCTTGCTCAAAGCTATTCTCAGAGAGGAGGACACTTCCAACACCACATTTGGACCCGCTGACGTGAAGGACTCCGTTAATTCCTCTTTGTATTTTGTGGATGGTATGACCTGGCCGGAGGTGGTGCGTGCATACTGTGAGAGTGACTCAGAATACCGGCATATTCTGCCATTCCTGGAGAATGAGGATTACCCGTATGAACCATTAAAGAACAAAATTAAAGTTCTGCAGTTTTTGGTGGACCAATTCTTGGCAACAAATATCGCCCGAGAGGAGCTTATGTCAGAAGGAGTAGTTGCCTACGATGACCACTGCAGGGTGTGTCATCGTCTCGGTGACCTGCTGTGCTGTGAGACATGTTCAGCTGTTTACCATTTGGAGTGTGTGAAGCCTCCATTGCAGGAAGTGCCAGAGGACGAGTGGCAGTGTGAGGTGTGTGTGGCGCACAAGGTACCCGGTGTGGCAGACTGCATCCCTGAAGTGCAAAAGACAAAACCGTGTCTTCGTCAGCTACCTGTTGGATATGACCGACACCACCGTAAATACTGGTTCCTGAATCGCAGACTTGTTATGTAAGTTTGCACTGTTGGGGTTATTGTGTAATATTCAACAACATAATTGACAGCTACAGGTTTTTTTTTTAGAACAAGGGCCACAAAATTATAGTTATTTTATTACATTTTGCAACACTGAATCAGAATAAGCTTTATCACCAAAATACAATGAGATTATGTTCGTACAGTCGTCCGAAAGATGGGCGGAGTGCACGTTGCTGTTGCTCCATGAGAGCGCGGCCCCTTATCCTTTTTCAGAATACTTTTTAGATAGAAGGGGGAAAAGGCCATGAGGAGAGGATAGTGGTATTACAAAAAAAGATCTCTCCACACCTTGTCCGATTTTATGACATCAAAAAAACTCTACCAGCAAGCACGTTTATTAACACATTACATGTGCATTTGACAGCAAGACGGTGCGATTTGTCCATGAAGCACTTCCAGATAGTCCATAGTCTTGTTAAAATGTTGGTATCAGCCGGCACAGCTCTGATAAACTTTTACAGAAGTTCTCGGGGCAGGGGGTGGGGGGACCGGGTGAGGTTTGCGATAGATGGAACTTTTCCTTAGTTTACACATGTCAGGAGAAATTTGATAAGCCGGCCTGCTTCAAGGCCAACCAGGGGTGTTGGATTCAGATAAGCCACAATTGTTTTTTTTTTTCAGGCAGGCTGTTTTTTATTGTCAGCCTTGAGTCCTGCTGGTACTTTCGATCCCAAAATGGCTAGATTTGTGGGCATTCCACTGGTCCGTGCTTATGAACCCCCTCCGAGGTCGTCCCCAACATGCTGGCGAGTCCCTGAAGCCGCAGGTGGCCTGCAATTCTCACAAATCGCTTCTATCTTACGGTTTAGCTAGTAAATCAGCCGATTTTAAGTACTCAAAGCATGAACCAAACCTTCACACAGACTCGGCAGTTTTCCCATGGCCAAAACTGCTGCCGCCGTCTTCTTTAAAAGCCGATAACATAGGAATTTGCCGATTCCAAAAAGCAGAAACCCTTCTATCATGGTTTCAATTATATAAACATCTTTGTGTCCTCCTGAGATAATACGGAAAGACATATCAGCTCCCAAACTCTCCATGGATCCATGCCGTATCCTGCCGCGTGCGTCTCAGCGGGGCATGCGGGCTCTCCAGGATCCTGTCGCTTTGTTGAAAAGATTTTATCGATTTTGTTCAAAGTCCAGCTGACCAGATCCATGACAGTAGTTTTAGTTTTGGAGATGTGTAAAATAGGAGCTCCGATACACAGACAGAGAGAGAGAAGGAAAAAAAAAAAAAGGCAGGAGGAGGACAGGAGAGAAGGAGGAGGAGGAAAAAACGTCCGCCTTGCACGAGGGCGAGTGATATAACATTCCATGTGTTTTGCATCTCTGCTACAGATGTGGGCATCTAGGGCAGTGCTTTGGATCGCCCAAAAATAATACTACCATCCAGATCATGGAAATAAACATTTATTTGAGTCAAAGCTGTTGTTTGACAGTATTAATATTGTGCATCTTCAAATCACAATACGATTTAATTTTGATATACTCTGCAGCTTCAGTTTAAACAGTGTAATATTCAAAGTTGCTAAATTATTCAAATATTTGCAAAAAACGGTTAAGAAAATAATTTTGACTTTGGTGCTTTTTTAAAATTTGAGCTACTTCATTACGTTGGTTTTTCAATTCACAGTTCTATTCGTCAAACCCATCCATCCATCCATCCATCCATCCATCCATCCATCCATCCATCCATCCATC